TCACCATAGGGGCGTGACTAACCATCCCCACCCAGTCCTCAAATAGGCCACGCTCAGCTTTTTAGCACAGAGCAATTTCCCGGAGTCTTCACGGAGACTTCAGAGTTGTCTACCGCTGACGAAGCTTCTGTGAGAGAAGCGAAACGTCCTTTTTTGTTTTTTGTTTTTTACCCACAGGTACAGATGACGACTGACAGAACCCTTTCTACGATGGAACTTTCCTGTACGACTGAGAGCCTCCACAAGAATCAGTGCTTTTCTTATTTGACAAACATTGAACAAAGCACTTCCTCATGCACACTACTCACTACAAACAAATCCTCACTGAGACGCAGAAACACACCATTACTTGCAGTCAAACATTTTAAACTTTTACCTGAACTATGATTATATGAGGCATCTCTGCCACAAAAGCAAGTCTTTTGTGAAACTATGAAAATATGCAATAAAGCAATACGAAAGTGTCTAAATGAAAATTCATTCACTATTACTCCATCCACAGCAGGACCTTTTTTAAACACTTTTAAATCAAATAATATTCAAAGAAACAAAACAAAAAATTCCTTAAAAATAAAAATGTATAAATACAAACAATCTGAAAACCAAATTTCAAAACCAACACGTTTTGGGCAAAAAATTGTTGGTTTTCAATTCGCTGCACCTTCGAATTCAGTCACTCTTAGAGCATGAATTGATTAAACCATGAGAAGCCAAAACTTCATAGATGATGGCTCACCTCACCAATGCACTTGTGATTCTTAACCTGATACTTTCATGAGAAGCTTTGACCACAAATTGAGTAGGAAAATGGTTTCTTACCGGTGTGGGTTCTTGTGTGTATTTTTAAGTATGCCTTTTGAAAGAATCTTTGACCACAAACTGTGCAGGAAAGTCTTCTCACTAGTGTGGGTTCTTGTATGATTTCTCAAAGATGTCTGCTCTGAAAATCTTTGGCTACAAAATGAGCAGGCAAAAGGTTTCTCACTAGCGTGCCTTCTTTTATGACGTTTTAACGTTACCTTGTGAGAGAATTTTCGGCCACAGTCTGTGCAGGAAAAAGGTTTCTCGCCAGCGTGGGTTCTTCTGTGATGTCTTAAAGGTTCCCTTGTGTGGACTGTTAAGTGTGCCTTCTGAGAGAATTTTTGGCCACAAACTGAGCAGGCAAAAGGTTTCTCACCAGTGTGAGTTCTTGTGTGTACTGTTAGGGTTCCCTTCTGAGCGAATGTTTGCCCACAAACTGAGAAGGCAAAAGGTTTCTCACCAGTGTGAGTTCTTGTGTGTATTTTTAAGGTCCTCTTCTGGGAGAATGTCTGGCCACAAATTGAGCACGAAAAAGGTTTCTCACCAGTGTGGCTAAACATATGCCTCTTCAAACTGCACTCATAAGCATAACTTCCCGCAGTGGGAACATTTCCAGGGTTTGTCACTTTCACATGTCAGATCACCTTCAGACGGTTCATCACCGGTCTCAGTAGAACGTTGCGTTATGTCATCACCACCTGACGGTGGCGGTAAGAGGTCATCTGCTTGTGATCCTCCATCACATTCTGATGTCACGTGTTGACTTGAGATGGTGCTGCATGGAGGTCCCACCGCTCCGCACGCTTCATTTTGACCAGCATCTTCACTCTTCAAAGGGCCACCAGTCAATGGCAACTTGAAAATAGACTCCTTCTCCTCCTCTTTGATGTCGTGAGGCTCTTCTTCTCCATCCTTGGTGAGGAGGTGCTCTTCCTGCTTCTCTTTGATGTGAGTGTGCTCTTCCTCCTTTTTAATGAGAAGAGGGTCTGGCTCCTCCTTTTCTTGAATGCAGGGGAGCTCTTCATCCTCCACTTCCTCCTTAATGTGGGGGGACTCTGGATCCTGCTGTCCAAGACCAAGATCTTCACTGACGTCTTCAAGACACAAGAAGACAAAGACAAAACATTTCATATTAATTGTCATGTTTAAACTTTGAATTTTCACATGGTTGTTTATATTTAATCCTCAAGGTCAATTGGAACTTTAGGCTATTACAATAAAAAGGTAAAAAGATGTTTATTGGCAAAACGATCGACCCAAAGAGGTTGCTGTGGTTTATCTGCCAGCATAAAGTCAAAATCAAATGTTATTGAAAGACCGGTGACAAAAGTTTATTATAATGACAAATGTGTAAATTTGACTGAGTGTCAGACTTGAGGTTGGTGTTTGTGTGTTTCTTCTTTTCACTCTGTCTTTTCAGGGAACTGTCTCACACTTCTCTTTCGTGACGATGGGACCTAACAGTCACTGGCAACATTTTAGAAGATCCAGCATTGGAGACTGAAAGTTGTGTCTGCAGGATTAACGCATCCCTTTTTTTCTTTCTTTTGAAATTAGACAATGGTTTGAAGCGGCGGTTCCGATCATGGATGGATCTCAAGGAGATCCGCCTGTTATAGAACCACTTTGCTAAACACAAACTGGACCACCTGGGGCTCAACACCTCCTGTGGCTGCTAGACTTCCTGACGGGGAAACTACAGGCAGTTCGGGCATTTAGAAATCAGTGCTGTGGTCTTCGAGCCGGTCCTTGGCCTCGAGGACCGACTCGAGGACCGAAAGTCGGTCCTTGGGCCTCGGCCTTGGGCTGGAGCCAAGTCCTTGGTCCTTGGCCTTGGCCTCGGAGGCAAGTCCTTGGTCTTTGGCCTTGGCCTCGGGTTGCCGGTTATCCTGCATCTGCTATTGCATCTGCTTATGCTGTCTGCTACTGCTTCTGATATCATTCTACTGTTTCTGCAACTACCATCTGCTTCAATAAATGATCAAAAACGGACAGAGCGAGTAATCCTTCCATGCCGACTGACAAACCCTATTCAGAGGGCCGTGAAAACGGAAATAACTGAACACATATAAAATGACACATTTTTTTCGCCTGCAAGTGTTACCTCCTGTAGGTACAACCGCATGGGAAGGAGATCCCTGGCAAAGATACTGACAGAAATGATGGGCCGAAGAAAAGAGACAGTGAGACATTTAATGGGAGGGCAGGAGACTGTCTCCCTGACGACCGATATCTGGACAGACCGAACGATGAGGAGTTTCCTTGGAGTGACTGCCCATTTGCTGGCTCCTCATCCGAAGACTCAAACATACCAGCTCTTATCCATCCTGCTGACATGTCAGAAGTTCAAGGGAAGGCACACAGGAGAGGCCATTGCAAGGTCTTTTGACAATGTCCTTGAAGACTTTGGTATTGGCAACAAGGTAAGCCTGTTACATAACTGCCCCCCCCAATCAAGGCCCCGTTCCAAAAAAAAAAACAGTGACCGTGCTATTGATGCATGTGCTTTGACACAAGTTTGTTTTGATCACCATTTTTTCAGATGCCCCACTAATATCAAATACAATGAAATGTTGATCATTAGGTCCATTTTGCTCTGGAAAGACAGAATATTTATTTTTTGCTTGATTGAGGTATTCTTATTTTTATGAATATTTTATAAATGTATTGAATCATTTTAAAATACCAAATGGCATGGTTCTTGATAACTTAATTTGGTTGTCCCATCTTTTGTTTTTCATTGTTTTTCTACCTGAGGGAAGGAGGATCAGGCTGCAAAATTTTCATTCCAAAGCCCAAAGGACATTGTTACAATGAGGTTTTGCTGTTATTTGATAGGGACTTGGGGAGAGATCTCATTCATTAACTGAAATGTGTGTTCTATAATGT